AACTTATTTCTTGTGAAACAATTGTGCTAACGGATTTCTAAGAAGGTCTTACTTTCACTTAGCAACTAATCGTTGCACTTTGTTCCCACAATCAATACGAATCTATAGTTCGGCTTTTTTCAATGTTGTATCATAATCCTATTTTAATCTTGAGAAAAATTGAATACAGAATAGGATCACGGTTATTCTTCAATAAGGATGAACTGTTCTATTTGTACTCTGAAAAAAGATTGTTTTCTCGGTCGAGTATAAATCCGACATCTTTTTTTTTGTTTCGTGTCGAAACTCGGAATCGGTAAGAGTTCTGTAAAAAAAAGCCATGTGACACCAAAATATTTCTTTCGAGTTTGCATCCAACTGAAGAATTGAGTTTAGTTTCGTAGCTCTTTCTATACTTTTAACCGATAAGATTTCTGGCTTTCCGCATCGGTTATCAACCCTTCTACTTGACTAAACCGACTAGTTTACTGACGATGATGAGTAAAAAAAACTCTAGTGATCATTACCGACTGATCTATCGACTTTGACCGACTAAAAATCTCTACGGGTATCTATCGATCGATTTATCGTCGATGTGATGCAAAATCTTAATACATATCGGCTGATTGCAGGCTACTCGAGTGCTGCAACCGATAATGGTAAACGACCGGTCTAGATTTTTAAATTTTTTCCGTTGTTTTTCGCTATTTTCTTGCGAAAATTGAGTGTAGAAGTGTTTATTTTTTAATATCGAACTAGTTTTATTGGTATCTATGACAATTTCCATGAAAAAAGCTTGTTAGCGCAGCCCCTTTGGGGCTGAAATGTGGAACTCACATATCTTCCTTACTTTCACTGTGCTGATGGCAAAATATATAATGTTTAAATTCTCTCAAAGACGATAATTCTTTTCTAATGATAATTGATTGTCAGCAAATGTTGTCTTCTTTTTATTTATATACATCGAGTAGAATTTTTTTTGTAAAGTTGCTATGGTCTGTAATGGGAGGGAGGGGGAGGGGGAGCAGCTGCAAAACCTCGAACTTAAAACTTACACTCACTATTTTCTTCGAAAATATATATGAGTTCCACAAAAACATGGATTACACTGCTTATATTTAGTGAATACAGGGTGTGACAAAAATTTTGCGACATTTTTTGCGTTGCACATATCTCTGTTCATGAGCATGACAAAACTTTGGGTGTGGGTGTGAATGCGGGGTGGATGTGCATGTGAGTGTGAGTATGTGGGTGCGAATGTGAAAGATCGCTCATGTACTCGTACATCCACACCCACACACCTACACCCACCCAAATTCATCGGATCCTAGCGTCGAAAAGCATTAGGATCCAATTGCTAGGTATTACAGGAGTCTGGACACCCTATTCTGATCGGATTTCCGAAGGATCCCATCGATTTCCATCAAGTTCCTATCGGATGTAACTGGAGTCTTGCAGTAGGAGTTCGTGGCAACTTCTACACTAGGAACACATAGGATCGAATCTAATCCCGTCAGACCCTATGAGAACTGATAACATCGGATGTTTCCTCTGTTACCAACGCCTGGGAAGCAGACACTGGAAGATCCCAACAGCTGGAAAACGACTCCACTGACCCTCCTCCCTTCTCTCTTCGAATTTTCTATACATTCAAAACCTATCTCACATCATTATTTTTTCACAAACATTACTATACCGGTGCAATTTCCCATCATGAGAGAGGTCTCTATCTTAAGAGCGTGGGTGTGAATGTAGGTGCGGTTTGTTCTAACAATAGGAACACGCTCACACATACCCACACCTATGAGAAGCTTTTTAGAACTACAATAAGAAAACGAATGAAGAACTTTCATGAAATAGAAAAGTTGGTCAATACAGATATAGACGTCATCTTCATTGATATCCTAATACATGACGAAAGTTGCAAAAACTCACTTGGTCGTGTGATGGTAACTTCCAAAACTACATTATTTCGGAACACTTAGCCTTACTTGTAAACCAGAATACCAGATGATGAATAGATTTTCAGATCGAAATGCTTTCATTTCATTTTGCTGTAGATATCATTACGTGAGTAGAAAACATATTAAAATAGCTGTAACATTTAGTCAGCAAGTCAGAGATTCAAGTGATGCTAAGAAAGTTTTGAATTTACTAAACTGCTTTTCTATTTCAATGATTACTACAAAAAGGAGGAAACATTTCAGATCCTTTTCTCGTCAGTCATTATCTTTCGATCTCTTTAAAATTTAGATGTTTTCTTTAAGTGTACTGATATGTGATTATTTCTTACAATCACATAATCTTTCATTAGAAAGTTATTTATTGTATTGAAAGTCAAAAAATTTTAAAGCATCTCATATAACAATTGATGGATTGATTCGAACCAATCGTGATATTTGTACTGATTATCGAATGAAACGTATCATATAATAGCAATCATGAATACGTTATTTCAATTAAAACAAAGCCAAAATTATTATTTATCTACACTAAAAAATTAGTTTTATTTCGTCGTTATTTCTGTTTCCATTGGAATAGAGTTTTCCGTTTGTTTATTAAATAAGTTTGTAATAACTGATTCAACACCTTTCTCTTGAAATTCATTTTGTAATTTTTCTAATTGATCATAAAATGTGCCTGATGAGCCAGTCGATAATAGACCCAACAGGTTATCAAGTTTTGTCAAATCTAGACGATCTCTACTGAATTTGAACTGAACAAAAGAAAATGGAGACATAAAATATACTTAATAGTTTTTGTGACTTACTTGAATTACATCTGGTACATACGCATCTTGAAATTCGGTAGACATTTGACCCTGGCCATGCTGATTGGAAATGAAGGAAATAAATACTAATTTAGCAGTATAAACTTCTGCTCGATATTTCATAAATAAATCAAAAAATTGTATTGATGTGCCGTCAGCTAATTGTGTCTCTGTATTTTCTAATTCATCTGTTAATATAATAAATGTTTTGATTACTTCTTTACCATCATAATATGATACTAGACCAGCAACATTTGCTGTACGATCAGTAGCTTTTGTTGTCAATGCTAATGTAAGAACATCTTCAATTGTTTTCAGCGTGAATGTAGGTAAAAACATGTCTGTATTGAAAAGATTCAACTTAGCTGAGTAAACTGCTGTTAATATTAATGAAAGAATAGTTGCTGTACGAATAACAACTTCCATTGAACCTGATGCGTCACCAATGA